TACAGCGCCAAAAAAGAAGAAGAAGAAAATTCTGCATACACGGAAGAGCAAAACTGGAACAATAAAACGGAAAGTTAAGTTTGTGATAATGTACTTCTTCAGATTATTTACTTTATGGTAATTCAAACTTGCATTTCGCCTTACCGATGTTTAACTAAACGTTTGACCATAAAAATTTTAAGATTCGCATATGGAAACTCGGAAAAAAATTACCAAACAAAAATGAACTAGATTGTTCCAGTTTTGCACCCTCTTAGTATTTGCTGAATTTATAATTATAAGAGGAGTTCTGGCTAATTTCCTGCAATTTTGTAATCAAGGCGCGTGGGATTTTCGGTGTGAGTGCTTTAAGTGCACAGCCCAAGCAAAAAGAATTTAAAGTTTTTGCAAAACGGTCAGAAAGGCTACGCTATAAAGAAAGAAATCATATCGGCCAAATGTCCGTTTTATGGTTATCTAAACAAGCGATAAAAGGGCGGACCTCAGTCTGCAAGATCAAGAGACCACAAAAAATTGCAATTTCCTACGCTAGGCATATTGGAGGGTGTCTGAATACCAAAAAACTTTGGTTCAAAATCAAAAATTACTGCTTTTTCACCACAAAGCAAGTGACTGGACATTATGTAAGACATGGGAACAAGTTATTGCAGCACAAAGATAAAGAGGAGAAAGCCTGCTTTGACATCCAGAAAAAATTTTTGTCTGAAACGCATTTTTACTAAGAAAAAACATTGGATTGGTATTATTTTGAAGCGGGAATTTACAAGTTCTTCATAAACGACCACATTATTCCACCAAAATTTACTATTAATTAGGGCACGGCCCTAAATTTTTTAAATCTGAGGATAAAATTAAACATTTTAAGTCGGAATATTGGTTCAAGTGCTGTGCACCTGCATCAGGCGTATCCTAACGTCCCAAATTATTTAAACTATTAGATTTGTATGTGTACATTTAATGATGTAGGGCCGTGTTACGCCTTAGGGAGTAAGAACTGTGGTCAAATCGACGGTAAAAAGAAAAGTGACAACAAATGAGCATTTTCAAAGAATTTGGCAATTTCTGAGCATATTTTTCCGAGGCTTTTATCAATTTTAACAGGACCATGATCAGAAATATCATCCGAAACTGGGGCCAAATAGGTATAAATTCCAAGTTTTTATAATCATGGAGCGACCTGCATAAAGCCCAGAGCTGATTCGACAGAAAACTTATGGAATTGTTTGAAAATGCCACTGGTCAATTATGAAAATTCGCCCAATCGCATGCAAGACCTTGGGCATGGCGTTGAGGAAAACCGATGCGCGTTCTCAACAGATTTCGTCTCAAACCTGTGCGATAGTATACCAAGATGACCATAAAAGCTAAAATATTCAAATTGGTTATGGCCAACTTATTAAAAGTCATGCAAATGGTAAAATTTTCTGTCGGGTGAAAAACTGGAACAATCTAGTTGCTACGTTTTTTTGCAATTTTATTCTTTATCTGCTTGTATTAATTATTGTTTTTAATGCCTTCTGATGAAATAAATATTGGAAATGTGAATTCCGAAACTAGATTACAAAAAAGTCTTCATATATTGCGAATATATTGCAAGAAAATTCACATTATGTATTACTGTTCCGGTTTTGCTCCTCAGTGTATATGGTTTTTTTTCTGTGTGAAAAAGTGGTGGAGAAGACTATTATTTTTATATTTTGACCAACATTTACCCTTAAAAATTATTTTTAAATGAATAAAACCTACGTTCTTTAAGTTTTTAATAACAATGAAAATTACGGTTGAATTGTCAAAATCGGTCAATTAGATCGTCTGTAATTGAATTTTAAAGTAGAATGGACAAAAAACTTGTCGATATATAAGAAAAAATATATTTTTTTGTTTGCATTGTCAATAGGTATGAAAAAATACCCCTGATAATTGGAAATAAAATATCACATAATTGAAATGGCCCGTTTTAGAAATTCTGACTCATATAACGGGTGATTTTTTTGAGGTTAGGATTTTCATGCATTAGTATTTGACAGATCACGTGGGATTTCAGACATGGTGTCAAAGAGAAAGATGCTCAGTATGCTTTGAAATTTCATCATGAATAGACTTACTAACGAGCAACGCTTGCAAATCATTGAATTTTATTACCAAAATCAGTGTTCGGTTCGAAATGTGTTTCGCGCTTTACGTCCGATTTATGGTCTACATAATCGACCAAGTGAGCAAACAATTAATGCGATTGTGACCAAGTTTCGCACTCAGTTTACTTTATTGGACATTAAACCAACCACACGAATGCGTACAGTGCGTACAGAAGAGAATATTGCGTCTGTTTCTGAGAGTGTTGCTGAAGACCGTGAAATGTCGATTCGTCGCCGTTCGCAGCAATTGGGTTTGTGTTATTCGACCACATGGAAGATTTTACGCAAAGATCTTGGTGTAAAACCGTATAAAATACAGCTCGTGCAAGAACTGAAGCCGAACGATCTGCCACAACGTCGAATTTTCAGTGAATGGGCCCTAGAAAAGTTGGCAGAAAATCCGCTTTTTTATCGACAAATTTTGTTCAGCGATGAGGCTCATTTCTGGTTGAATGGCTTCGTAAATAAGCAAAATTGCCGCATTTGGAGTGAAGAGCAACCAGAAGCCGTTCAAGAACTGCCCATGCATCCCGAAAAAATGCACTGTTTGGTGTGGTTTGTACGCTGGTGGAATCATTGGACCGTATTTTTTCAAAGATGCTGTTGGACGCAACGTTACGGTGAATGGCGATCGCTATCGTTCGATGCTAACAAACTTTTTGTTGCCAAAAATGGAAGAACTGAACTTGGTTGACATGTGGTTTCAACAAGATGGCGCTACATGCCACACAGCTCGCGATTCTATGGCCATTTTGAGGGAAAACTTCGGAGAACAATTCATCTCAAGAAATGGACCGGTAAGTTGGCCACCAAGATCATGCGATTTGACGCCTTTAGACTATTTTTTGTGGGGCTACGTCAAGTCTAAAGTCTACAGAAATAAGCCAGCAACTATTCCAGCTTTGGAAGACAACATTTCCGAAGAAATTCGGGCTATTCTGGCCGAAATGCTCGAAAAAGTTGCCCAAAATTGGACTTTCCGAATGGACCACCTAAGACGCAGCCGCGGTCAACATTTAAATGAAATTATCTTCAAAAAGTAAATGTCATGGACCAATCTAACGTTTCAAATAAAGAACCGATGAGTGCGTTTATGCGTTTTTTTTTAAAAAAAAGTTATCAAGCTCTTAAAAAATCACCCGTTATCAATTCTGAATAAATATTGACGAGTTTTATAGCCACTCTGCTCAAAATATCTGAAAGTACATACTTACATACATAAAAATTCAAGGTCGTATTAAAGAAAAGTCGCCTAACTTCCACAATTTTTGCGCGATTGAAATAGATAGCTCATAATCAGTTTATAATTTAATTTTAGATGTACTACATATTTTGAAATTGTGGAAATAAGTGATGGTCAAAAAATAAGAAATTTTTTTTTTTTTGCCCGATGAAAACTCCCAACAATCCAAGTCTGACAATAGACTCGCGACCTTTAAATGGTTTTTAAAAAATCTAAAAAATAGGAAAGTAGCAGTAGGGTCTTGAAATTAAAAAAAAAAAAATCGATGGGCACCCACAATAAATTCATGGCGGTATTTTTATTTAAATTGCCTAACAGCCACTAATTTTTTTTTTTTATTAGAAGCAGCAATTAATTTAATTTTTCACGTTTAAAAACGATGAGAATTTTGTTAGTTTTTATTGTATCGTGAATGAGTTGAATGTCGATTTATTGCTGAGTGGTTTTTAAGACCAGTCCCTTTCAGTTATAAAGTTATCTCTGGCTGTCTATCAGACCATCTCTGGCAAATAAAAGTCCACTAATCGAGAAGAAAAGCCTTGAACAATTTGCCCGTGTTCTGATAGCGTATACCTCTTCATTTTGAAACACAATAAATTTCATAACTGCCACCCGTAAAATGTAAAAAAAAAACACAATTATATTCACCGCCAACTGAAAAAACGTCTTCAAATAGGGTGATACCTTTTCGCCACTTTGCACATATTTGGCAACTTTCATAAACATTTTTTAAATTAGCGATGGTCAAAGTTGGAAAAATTGGATTTTTTTTCTAATTTACCCGATGAAAACTCTCAACTATTTATGTTTAAAAACAGCTTTTTATGACTTTCCAAAACATATGTAATTGATTTTGAGAATTGGTTGACAAATAGTCAATCAGTTAATAGATAATTGCATCAAGTATTTCTGTGCTTTTATATGTTAATAACGAGCTGTCATTAAACAAATATGATAATAACCCTCTTCATTTACATAATTAGCTTCCATGTAAATTTTAATTGTAGATTTCAAAAAGGAATGATCCAAGATTTTACACTTCCAATCAGTCAACAAAAATTACTAACATATGTACATCAATTATAGATTGTAATTTAAAGCCTGCGAAATATAAGAAAAATTGGGCAATAGTACAACGTAAATGGTTAATACGGCGATGCAGCAGAGGCCCAGCAAACACAGTCTCTAACGTTAGAGAATACATTACATACATTATATAACTAGGGTATTTCTCTAATCGTTCTCGAGTCGATGACGGAAGTTAGAGAACTATATTAGAATTCGATTCGAGAACGATTAGAGAAACAACCCAAATTCAAATAAATGTAAATAAGCAATATTCTAAATGAATGAATCATAATTTATTTTATGTTCACATAATTCATTATTATTTTATTGCAAATACATTTAATAAATATTTTACAAAGCGTTTTATTTAGTAAAGCAAAATAGCAGTTTGAAATTCAAATTCGAATCCCATTAGAGATCAACATTAGAATTCGATTAGATAATTAATATTTTCTCGAGTCAAGAACTATGTCCCATTTTTGTTGAGA